AAAAATGAAAAGGAATAAACTTTAGAAATAGGTTAAATAGAAAACTGAGAAAGTAATCCTTAATTATTAGACGTCGGAAAAATTAGTTTTAAAATACATTAACAATGTAAATCTAATTCTACTTTTGAAGTATATTTTTATTGCTACTTGTAATTTGAGTTTCTAAACTTTTGATCCTTTATAAGGATGAGATATTTTAATAAAAATACTATCTCTTCTATATATTGAGTATCTAAATTTAATTACTTTTTAATGTATATCTAAATTAAATATTTATTCTAATGTATAATTCTAATTTTACAAAAAAATAATCATAAAATAAAAATATTATTACATTATAATATGAATGATTATTCTAATATATGAATTAACTATTTTTATTTTATTAAAAAATAATCATTAAATAAAAAAATATTGATTATATTATAATATGAAATATAATTCTAATTTTCAAACGTTATTATAAAGTCAAATTAAATTATTGATTTGAAATTTTAAATTAAATCATAATTAATCAGATTAGATCAGATCAGATCCAATCAGATCAGATCAGATTAGATCAGATCCAATCAAATCAGATCAGATCCAATCAGATCAGATTAGATCAGACCAGATCAGATCAGAACTTATTAGAATCAGATCACATCAGAAAAAATAAGTTGAACGGAACGGAGCCTTAGGCTCCTCTATTTCGTAGGCCTTATCTAACTGAATTTGATCTAAATTTTTGAAGTTCCCATATGATATAATTAGATCTGATCTGATTTAATTGAATTTGTTCTGATCAGATTTGGTGTAGTTGAATTTAAGTTTGATTTAAATTATACTTATAATTATTACAAGAAATTTAATAATTTTAAAGTATAACAATTCATATATACATAAAAAAAGTAAAATTAGAAAATCATTTCCAATAACTAATTTTGTACAAACCCTAACTAATTTTCTTCTATAAACAAATGTGTTTTCTATGAATAAGTATTTTAAAATAGCTCTTTTAAATAAGTATTTTCTATAAATAAGTATTTTAAAATGAAAAATTTACACTAATTAACACTAAAACATAAGTCATTTCTTAATGTAGGACTTAAATTTTTTTATTCGCTAAATAGTACTCCGTACTTAATAATGTCTAGTGGGAGGCATAATGACCAGGTTAGACATTTACTTGAATAATGGTTAATGAATAATGACCAATGATCCTACATTGAGAAATACAAAAAATATGGTCTTATATTAAAAAAGTTATTATGTTTTAGTCCTATTTAGGTAGATTTCCTTTTTAAAATAGCTCTTTTATAAACAAGTGTGTTTTCTATAAATTAGGATTTTAATGTAGCTATTTTTCATGCATTACTCTTGCAAGCTAAGCAATTACTATCAATAATGGTTTGTAGTTGATATAATAATAATAATAATATATATAACAATAATAATACTTCAACCATCGTATAATAATACTGAGTAATAATAATAGTAATTCTTCATCCGTCTTATAATAATACAGGGTAATAATAATAATAATAATAATAATAATAATAATAATAATAATAATATATAATAATAATAATAATAAACATAATTAAAGTTATAATATTAATTAATATTTAGGAGTGTGTAACTTTAGATAAAGTAATGTGATATAATTAAATAGTAATTATTATTTAATCCTTATTTTTATTATTTTTTTTCTTCCAAATTCTTTTTAAAATGATTTAAAAAAGTATTTGTATATGATTAATATAAAATAATATTATATAATTAAAATTGTAACATATCACCTCAAACACGTAAAGTGATAAATATTTTCTACTCAACATTAAAATTTTCTAATATATTTATTTAGACAATCATTTAATTTAGTGACTTTTTAAATACGTAAATTCTTCCAACATCTTTTAGTAAGAAACTATCTTAAATAGAAGTAAAACATAGAGAAAGTACCAAAATAGGAGTTTCATGCTTTTATTACCTAAATAAGACTTCATATTGTGGTAATGTGATACTATACATGAGCATTTTACTATAGTTTTTGGTAATGTACATGATCACGATTGGCAATGCAAATGTATTTTAACTCCTATTTTGAGAATAAAAACATTGAACTCCTATTTTGGTATATTTTGAATGTATTACTCATATTTTTGTTTTTGTTCAATTCTCCTGTTTTTCAACTTTTTCTAGTCTCTTCCAACTCCATATAGAATCTTCCAACATTTAGCTCCGAAATTCTAACTTAATAGAGTAGGGTCTTAGTAGAATAAGGTTTGGTTAGAGTTGTTGTAGATAGATTTATTAAGATTTTATATTCTAACAGGGTCACATTTCTATTTTTTGGTACACTGTTATTCTAATATTGATACTGAGTATCAAATTTTTGAGTCGTTCTTTGGTGGTCATATGATTTACATGTAAAATGTGAATCTTCTCGTACATTTTTTCGGCTAGAAAGCAGATATATTTTATACAAAAGACTCCATTTATTATAATATCAATGCATTAACGTCTATAAAATGAGCAAGGATCTTAGAACGAAGTAAGAATTTTTCTAAGTTTTTAAGATTCTAGAATATGGTATTTAAGTTAAATTCGAATTTGAAATCTAAATTTAATTTTTCAAATGTGGCGTAGTCGCGTAGAGTGTTTTAAAACCGAGTCCATCCGCCTCAAAATATGTGTCAAATGTTGACATTTTCTAGTTAGTTATGAGCAATATTTGACTTATAATTCAGTACAGTAGTAAAATTATAGGGTTAAATACTTAAATGTATTTTTGGTCCTTATAAAACAAGAGAATTTACTTTTTGTGCCTAAAAGATATATTCGATTAATCATCCTGTAATTTTTTTTACAAATTGTCCATTAACAGTACTTGTTTTAAATTATGAGTAAATGTTGAATTTGCTTTTGATCCCTAGAAAATCAATGATTTTGTTTCTCTAAATTATATAACGGATCTAAAGTAATTTTGTTTTTGCTCCTTTTAAACCGTGGCTAATCAATTTAAGTGTGTGGGAGGATTATTTGGAAACACAAATTTTATGGGGATAGTTTAATTGAAAAATATTTTAGAGGGACTAAAAACTAAAGCTATTCATTTATTGGACCAAAAGTATATTTACATAAAGTTATTCAAAATTATATTATGGAGTAAATAATATTTTAAAAATGTTTTACAAGATAGTTCCAATATAATTATTATTGTGTCAATATTATAATACTCTAAATAAGTTTTACTTAATTAACGATAAAATTTTATCAATTTTGACAATAAAAAGTCAAAATATACAAATACCCTCAAGCGGAGTTACTCCTTCCATTCCAATTAATTCGTCTATTGACCATTTATGAAGTTAAATTTTATTCATTTTATTTCTCTATTTTCACTGCCCACTTGATAAAGTAATATAGTAACATCATCTTTTTTTCGTATAACTTTAATGTAAATTTTAAATATATAAACTTTAGTATATAATTTTATCCTAATTCTCAAAAAATTAAGCTAAAAATAATTTTAATAAAATATCGTAACAAAAATAAGTGATTTAAATTGAGAAGAAGACTAATAAAAACATATAAGGTCCGTTCAGTGAGCATTGTAGATACGATAAGATATGAGTTATCAGAAAGAAATGATATGAGTTTTGAAATCTGAAATGAACTTGTTTGAAGAGATTTAAAATTATGATTTAATTTGTGATACGCTAGAGTGACCGGCAACGGAGGTGATTGGGGTGAGAATGGTAGCCGGTGACGAAGAATAATCAATGATTGAATATCAAACCCCCATATTGATATCTCCAAATTTTGGAGATATCGAAATTTCACATTCGAAGAACTTATGATATCTGGATATATCGAATTCATCACAGGGGCGGATCTACAAGTATGAATATGGGGGCAGTCGCCCCCAATCAACTTTTTTTACTCCGTAATGTACAATGTTAAAATATTTTTTTGTAAAAAATTAAAAAAATAATCCCAATACAAAAATTAGTTTGCCCCCAATGAGAAAAGAAAATTTTAGTTTAAAAGTAAAAAATAATCACTTAAAAAATATATATATGTAAAATATTTAAAATATCATAATTATATTACGTCATGACATTCTGTATTTTATATTTTATTTTTATACTATGAAAATAATTTTTTCTTATTTTATGCTTGTTTGAAATTAAATTTATTTATATTTTTTTTATCATAATCGATTGCTTTAAAAAAAATCAGGAGCGCTACAGTATACTCTTTAGTGTGTGTTTGCCTCAGTCATATTATTTTTCTAGATCTGCCAATGGAATTCGATATCTAGAGATATCAAAAGTCATATCTTGTTTGCTTACACTTATAAACTATAGAGGTACTATTCTTGAAGGGTAAAACCATTTGTATCTCAGGGATGTAACAACATTTTGTACCCATTTTGTAAATTGCAGGGATGCATCAACATTTTTTGGTTGTGTTATGCTATTTTTTATTTACGTACCAACATTTTGTGTCAGTGTATAATTTTGTTAACAGATCAACACTTTGTGTCAGTGTGAATCTAATGCATACCTTTGATATACAAATGTGATACTCTCCCGTTTTAAATTATAATGCATGTTCACTATTTACATGGTCAAACTTCTTTCACTTTTTTTCTCTATTTTCGTTAGCAATTTGATAAAATAAAATACTATTGTCACTATTTGTTTTGTAGATCTTTTGATGTAGTATTTTAATATGCAATTTTTATTTTTTAATTATATACCATTTGTTATATAAAATGATTTGAAAATAATTTCGGTCAAATTTTGTAAACCAAAACAGGCGAGGAGTACAAATTTTTATGTACACTGCTCCATGCTTGAATGGCGGCCTCATAAATAGTCGTGTTTTTTCAAAAAGCAGATGGTAAGAGAGAAACTAGCCGTTTGAAACACCATTTTTGCCCTACGACCCGCTCAGCTCGCCCCATCTGAAACCGCCGAAGGAGTTACAAGCAATTCCCAAAGAACGGCAGATAAAAAATCAAGTTCTTGCAGGGTTTCACCTTTTGAAGAACCATTTGGATCTCTAAATCAACGAAGAAGGTCTCAGCGGGATTTGGTGCTCAGCCATGGCGGAAACGTCTTCCCCTTGTATGGTGCGATCGTTCACCCAGCCTTCCTTCTCCAGGTCCTGTGACGAGGTCAGTTCTAGGAACCAAATTTCTGCTGTTCTATGTAGCGAAATTGATTTGTGTGAAGGAAATCATCAAAACGATTCATCAATTTAGTGTAATCTCGCGATCATTTGGAGCTTTAGCAGTGTGAAATGTGAATTTATCTATTATTTTTGTAACACGTTATATTCCTGAGTACTATGTTTGATTTCAATCCTTCGGATTTCAATGTTTTGGAAGGTTTTTTTTTCATCTCAATCTCTGTTTGTGAATTGTAATTACTGAGAAATGTTAATCTTAGAAGTCAGAACACCATTCTTCTCCGAATTAAGTTTGTTTTCATTTGGGTTGAGAATTATGAGTAACCAGTTTTTGGTCGTGCACGGTATGTGTTTGATATTGGTTTTTTGAAATTTTCATTGTTAACTCCTGCAAAGACTGCTGTGATTATAGGGAGATATTCTTCGTGCTCTAACGTCGTCAATCTCGTTTGGGAAATACATGACGGAATCACTGGCTTGGGACAAGTGGTCTACATTCCCTCAGAATAATTACAGAGAAGAAGCTCTGAGATACTCCAGGCCTGGTTCTGTTGCTGAGAAGAAAGCTTTCTTTGAAGCCCGGTTCAAGACAATGGCTTCCAAAAAAACTGCAGCTTCTTCTTCGGTTGAACAGAAATCTGCAATAGCTGAGCATTCATCTGGTTTGAACAGAGTGAATCAGAACCAAAGTAATGTGTATTTGGATTCTGCCCCTGGACATTCTAATGGGAATAATGCTGTGTTTGACAAAAGTGACCAAGAAAATACCATGGCCGTACCCTCAACAGGACGGCCTATATGCAGTAAAGAGGTATGTCATTTATGTTCATCGCTAAAAATACCCACCTAGACTCGCCTGATTCCAGACTAGAAGCTTGCTTTCCCTTCCCTTAGAATGGGATTGGATCCTGGAAATTTCAACAACAATAACAACAAACCCAGTAAAACCCCAAAAACCACAGAGAGCAGGGTTTGAGGAGGGTGTGTACACAGATACTAACCTTAAAGCACTTGTTTTGGTTTTGCCTCGGAATTTGAAATTAGTGATTCAACATTTTTTATATATGCTTATATTCATGGTCTTTATGTATTAGAAATAAGAGTAGAATATTTGCCCTCAATCTACATATTTGGATTTATTCTCAATCTAGAATGAATGTTTAACTAAATATTGAATGATTGAGATGTTAGTCTCTTGTACTCCCATTAAAGCTTATTTTCAATCTTAAAACCATTGGATTTACTCTATTAAAATTTACTTCTTAATCTCACTTATGCTCCCTGACCAGGTGAACACTTGTACTTAGAAGTTAGAACATTTATTTATGAGTAATTTTTTAATCTCAATTAGGTTTGTAAATTATATCCCCATTTTTTGGCTAACGGACTTTCAGGTTACTACTGTTACAATGGGAGACACACCAGTCTCCGACAAGCTACCCCATGCATCAACAACCATAAAATCATCAACTAGATGTGGATTCTCCAATCCTCAACTCATTAAGCCGACATCAATTCCACCCAAGAAGACTGATCATTCTATGTCAAGTAGCAGTAAGAAGGTCACTGCTACTAAAGGGTCAGCAGCTAAAAAGCAGTTCACTCCAAGATCTCTCCATGTGTCAATTGACAACATAGAGTTTGATGATGAGCCCATAAAAAAATCTTCTCCTATTTTTCAGAAGATTGTGAACTCTAAATTTGTTAGAGCAATGACTAATGATACACTTCAAGAGAGCAGAATAAAAAAATCTCCTCTTAAGGTGAACAAAGAAGAACATACTTTTCTGTGTTGTCCCCCGTTTGACGAGAAAGACCAAAAAATTGCAGCTGCAAAACAAACGGAAGAACCTATATTCAGTGAGGATGTGGCGGCGAAACCACTAAATGCATCATACCTAGATGAGAATATGGAACCAAAGGTATGTCTGTTATGAGCATACATTCTTTTTTCATTTGCATATCGCTCCATTTCATTTGCTAATATTGACCATTTAGGAGGGAACTGTAACAATGGGAGATTCAGATGAGACTACTTGTTCATCTGCAACTATGAAAGTAATGCAACCATCAACAAAATGTGGATTGCCCAAGGCACCACTCGTGAAGCCAACACCATCCATTCAGTCCACGAAGAGAGACCATTCTATTACAGGAGTTGATCATGTGGCAGAAAATTCGGAGCATGATGAGTACATCAAAACATCTTCTCCAGTTCTTCAGAAGATCGTCAATTCAAAGTTTGTCCGAGCAATAACTAATAATACAACTCGAGAGAACAGATCTAAAATATCTCCTATTAGGGTGAACTGCTTATTCTCTGTTGGGTTTTCTATCAACTCATATCATTAAAGACGATTGTTCTTAGATGCTTGTTTTCTGAACTGCAGACAACTAGCTTTTCATTATCAAAGCCTGTATCTGAGCCAAAAATTACAAGGTAAGTGCTTTCTTGAAAAGGCTGTAAGAGCCTGTTTGGATAACGTATGCTGCAAGTGCTTATATAAAGGTTATCTCTAAAAAAAACTAAAAGCATCTTTTCAATTAAAAAACACTAAACTCGTGCTTTCTTTAATAATCTTAAAACATTATTTTTTACTATTAAAAGCACATCTTCAATTTCTTTGCCAAATCTCTTTTTAAAGAAACAAATGCTTTTTTTCTTTAAAAATCGTTATTGTTTGAAAACAAGTCATCTCAAACACTCTTTGTAGTAAATTCAATTGTGCAAGAATCTTATCTTTTCCAAATTGGGGCAGCAATTTGAAACCTTCAAATGCAAATGGAAGTAAGACATCAACTTCTTCCACTACATGTGCTTCATTTGTCTTCAGGAGCGAGGAAAGAGCAATGAAGCTTAAAGAGGTATGTGAACCTGTAGCAATTATGCCATAGTCAATCCTTTTAAGTAACCCATTTTAAAATGTTTTTCTATATTTTTCCCCTCTCTACTTCAGTTCTATCAGAAGCTAGAACAGAAGTTGAAAGAGGAGCAGCAGACACAAATAAAAGCAATGGTATGTTGAGCATATGATGGAACTTTTGAAATGTGAAATTTCCCTCTTGAAAACATCAAATTTAACTTTTTTTTTTATCTTTCTTTTAGCAGGGTAAAAAAACAAATGAATCTACAGTTTTGAGAGCCTCTACCTCCTGGGTTAAACCTAATTTCAATAATCATCTGACAAGAGGAGAATATTCATCAATTAGCACCATGGGAAAGGTAATGAATGCCGTTCGGTAGAAATTGAAAAGAAGGCAATTACTCCCTCCATTCTAAAATCAACTTCTCACTTTCCTTTTCGGTTGTCTCAGAAGCAACTTCACATGTCCTTTTTTTGTTTTCATTCAGTTTTTTCTTTTTATAATAATAGACACTTTTACCCTCAACAACAACCCAATTGAATCTTGCAATAACATGGTCTGGGGAGGGTATGTGTACGCAGACCTTACCCCTACTAAGAGTATAGACTAGAGAGGCTATTTTCAGAGAAAGGATAGTACAACAAAGAAATAAAGAGCAAACAAAGGGTAAGAAACCCACACAAAAGACTAAAGGCACACAAACATAAGTAAGAAGAAAGACCCCACGCCTACCAAACACACAACGACAAGAACTATACTACTACCCTGGTCTAAACAACTAACCAACAATTGTAATCGTTAAGAACAAGAAGTCCTAAGTCCTGCCTAATAACCTCCTAATTTTTTTTAGGTCTACAGCCTACCCCTTCCCCTAAACTCATCGACTACCGCAAGCCTCAGGCTCACGTCGCTTCACGTGACCAAACCATCTCAACCTAGCCTCATGCAGCCTATCCTCCATAGGTGCCACGCCCAAACATCTCTTGATAACCTCATGTTGAATCATATCCAACCTCCTTTTACCCTCAACAACCTTCATATTTCTACTGTTCCTTTTATTCAACCCGAAAAAGTAGGGAGGAACATTTAGGTAATCCTTTTAAATTCACTCTTAATCCACCAATCAATCAACTTTTTCTACAAAAAAAATCAAAAAATCCATCAATCAACCTTTCTACTGAACAATACATCTTTTCACTCTTAACAATCTACATCCTTCCCTATAAAAAAACCTACACCCTACATATTTACTACCTTTTACTGAACCCGAAAAGGTAGGGAGTAGCATGTATATGATCTTTTCACTCCTAATCTCCATTTTGTTTTCTATGAGAAGTTGATTTTGGGAGATGAATGGAGAGGAGCATTATTCAGTTGAAAGGTTGGTCGATGGATGTCGTCTTCGTCTGTTATGTGATCGAATGAAATACATTTATGATATGCAGATTCCAGAAATGCAGAAGCCTGCTTCGAAAGTCCAAGAGAATAGTTCTAAACCGCCGTGGAGGCTTTCAGGAAAGTCTGATAGCTCCAAAGATGTTATGGGAAAGAATAACACGCTCCTCTCCCGTACTACCAGATCAGTTGCGATGGAAGAATGTAGACGTGAAAATGCTTCCCCAAATATCCAGGTTTGAGTATTTGCAATGTTCTTTACTTCTTTGTAAAGAACTATAAAAGAGTATAGATTGATAAATTCTCTAATATCCCCCTTACCCGAAATTAAGATGTTTTTTATAAATATTATTGAGGGTGTTCTGGATACCAATAATCAAGCCGATTGTATAGGAAATTCTATATGAACTGTTGCTTGCAGCCCCAATATATCCACATTGTACGATATTCTAATGTCAAGTTTAGTTATTAACTTATTACTCCGGAGTAATATTTATGCAGATGTTCTTGGTATATATAGAACATTGTTTTCAGTATTTCAGCCACATTCTTGTGCACAGCAAAAGCTTAACTATCCAGTAACTAACTGAGCAATTTTTTATTGCGTTTCCGTTTCATAAAGTGTTCATCAAATTAGTCTGTTTCATAAACTTCAAGAAAAAACGTAGAAGCGTTGCGGGTTTTTATGGACATTTAAATTAGGAAAGTTAGAAGTTCTTTGTGGGACAATAACATTATAATGACATGTGAAAATAAAGAACTCTCTTCTTTTACTTTCTACATACAAATTATTCATCCACACACATAAACGTACAAGGATCATTTCCATATTACATTGTCACTTACACTCACATCCTACTTCACTCTGGTTCGGCCTCCGGGTGGGTCCCACCCGGGGCACTACCTACCTACCCACCTACCTAAGACGACACACATACATTTTTTTGTTATGTTGTGTCACAATAACCTACGTACAATTAAGACGAGGACGCCCCAGAACTCTTTCTCTTGCTGACCAGCTCGGAAAACGGCGGGTCACAATAATCTCCCTTGAAGAAGAGGTCCGCGAGCTTCTCGTTCATGGCGTCGGTGAAGTGAATGCCGTCCCAGCTGATGTACTTCCAGGGGCTCTTGCAGGCGGAGGACGCGGCGGAGCCGCAGAGGGCCTTGGGGTCGAAGTTGAGGTCTCCGCCGCCGGCGCCGCAGCAGACTTTGGTCCTCTCCTCGAACTTGTACTTGTGGCTGTTGGTGAAGATCTCCATGAAGGCCTTCCAGTAGTCGGCGTACACGATGGTGCTCCCCGGGTACTGCCGGCGGAAGGACTCTATGGTCTTTATGAGGAGCCGGTTGTGGATGTCTATGGCGGTGTTCACCACGGCGGAGCAGCCCATGTGGTCGCGGAGGAAGAAGGGGCACGGCGCTATGGCCACCGGCAGGCACCCCACCGGCGGCAGACCTTGGACTACTATGTACTTCGCTCCTGCTTCCAGCACCACCTGCACGCGCCGTCCATGTACGTATACGTTAATGCTTCCTTTTTGGAGTAACATTTGAAATCTATTTTGATTTGAAAAAAAAGCTAAAACCTAAGTTTTTTGTAAACGTATTATTCAATTTTTTCAAGTTTTGACTTATGCAGTCATCATTATTCTTTAATATTCTTAAAAATCTTTCATTTTTTATATTTTTTGATCAAACATTGATATACTTTAACTACAAATTATGAGAAAAGTATACTTAATTATAATATATATAATTGGGTTAATTTTAGAATATAATTTTGATATATCAAAATTTTATACTACGTATCATTTTATTTAATACTTAATTACATTTTTATTTAATTTATAATCAAAGTTTATTACTTTTGAGTTTTGAAGGAAAAATGTAAAAATTGGACAAGAGTTCGTGGATAAATATTGCATGTGGTCAAAAGGTCATAATTTATTTTTTTTTCCTGTAGTTAAAATTTTTTAAAATGTTAAGAAAATTCAAAATTTCATGAGAAAAGGATAGCATTGAATATGGAGGGTACATACCCGGAGAAGTTTAGCAATATGAATAATACAGAGCTGCGATATCCCGCGCAAATTAACCGCCGAACGTTTTTCGACCCGAGAGTAATCCGATAGGCCCACGGAACCCAACCAGAAGAGCGCGTTCTCCACCTCCGCCTTGCACCGCGCGTCGCCCGCGCTCTTGCACCCCTTCGACGCCAGAAACTCCTTGAACCACTCGATCTCCGTCTGGAACGGCAGGGGGTTCCCCGCCCAGAACAGGGGATTCGGTTTCCCGGCGACGCTCCCGTTTCCCGCCAGGAATGTCGATCCGGATATGGCGAAGTTGATCCCGAAGCTGAAATTGATCTGCGCGGATATCTTCCCGTCGGCTCCGGCGGAAATTCCGGCGCTCGCACTGGCTCCGGCGTCCGCAGATACTGACGCCGATGCTCCTGCCGAACCGCTGATTGAGCCCCCGCCGCTGCTTGTCACTCCTGACGAACCCGAACCGGTATTTGAGGATGAACCTGAACCGGTATTAGAAGATGAGGTGCCTGTTGAACCGGAACCGGTTTGGCTTGTTGAACCCGAACCGGTATTAGAAGATGAGGCGCTTTCCCCAGATACAGAACCAGATGAACCGCTGGCCGAACTTTTCCCGGTTGAGCTTTCGCTCGCGGAAACCGAGCTGGACCCGGTGTTTGCGGAACCGCCGTTCTTTCCTCCAGTTTTGCTACCGCCACTTCCGGCGGAATTTGTGCTTCCTCCGGCAGAACCCGAATTAGAAGACGACGCACCGCTCTTTTTCGCTTCAGACGATGACGACGAAGCACTCGATTGGCTATTTGAAGACGACGACGAAGAATTATTCCCGCTCTTCGAAGATGATGAACCGCTCTCCGCCGCCGCCGCCGCCTCCGAGGAGGAGGAGGAGGAGGAATTTTTGCCGCCTTGGTAAGGCGGGAGCGGGGGGAGGTCGAGGTTCTTGCACAGGTAGTCCACGACCAAGTGGCCGTTGGACATTCGTCCGTCTGAATACGACGTCGAATTCGCGTTCTGCGAAGAAGAAGAAGACGAATTCGACGACGACTCGGAATGCGTCTCGGAGGAGGAGGACGAGACCACCTCCTCCTTCATGCCCCCCATGGAATACGCATTTCCGGTGTCGGTGCTGGTCCCACCGAAGGCGTAAACCTTCGAGAAGCTTCTAGAAGAGCTGCTGGACTCCGACTTGGTGGAAGATTGCTGATGTGTCACGGCGGTGGTGGTGGTGGCATCAGCCCGTGATGAGGAAGAGAATGACAAGAACAATAGAAATAGGGAGATGGGCAATTCTAAATTTTTTGACATTATGTTTTATATCAATGAATTACTACAAGATTTTTTGCCTACTTTTGATTTTTTTTTGTTTTTTTTGGTTATTTGGGGTATGAAACTTTATTTTGACTATTCAGTCAGTTATTAATATTAATATTATTCCCTAAAAAAATATTAATAATATTATAATTACTACTATTTTTATTGGAAAGTATATGGGGGAGTGTATATATAAGGGGCGGGGAATGGGCAAGCATAGTTTTAGGCGGGGAGACTTTTGGAATGGTTGAAATGAGGAAATGGTAAAGTAATGGCCGGAGATAATCCGGCATTGCCTCAGCTCCACTTACATGATGAAATTGGCAAGTCTCATTTTTTTTTTCTTTTCTTTTTTGAATGGAAGTATCCTCACAAAGTGTTTTAATATAATAATAATGGAAAATGTTTTTGTATATTAAATCGTTGCGTGGGTACACACACAATTTTATCTTCTTATTTTGGGTGATATGTAAATATTATTAAAACCTAAGTGAAAAAAATGTATGAGAATAAAACGGGCATACCCTAGTCAATGAAAATGTTCATATAGGTTGAGGCACCAATCCAAACCAGAACAAGCACACAGGTCATAGGACAAACCGAGGCACGTGTACCTAAATGAGAAGCCAGAAATCCTAAAGCCAATGGTCGCAGGCCGGTAACAAAAATCGAAATCTATAAACAATGTCAGTAACAACAACATGGCTCGCATGCCAAACCCCAAGGCACACATTGCAAAGAAACCACACGCAATGCCAAAATGCATAAAGGTTGACTAGCCAAGACCCACCAACAAGTCAGGGAAAGGGTAAAAATAGAAGCCAAACTCAAAACCAAGTTTGCAAGCCGGTATCAATGCCCAAACTACGAAGGCATAGATCAAAGCCAAGGCACCAACCCAAAAACATCACCCAAGACTAAAGCTCTTGAACAAAAGCCAAGGCATGCAATCCAAGACCAGAGCATACATATACCCAGAGTCAAAGCGATGTCCACAATTGTTGGGACATGCAAGCAAGGATCCAAGTAAAAGCCAAAGTCCAAAACACAAGGGGAACACTGAGGTAGTTGACCATAAAGATTGACCAGCCTAACCCCAAGCACACGAAAAGCAGAAGCCATAAAAGCCAAACCAAGTCAAAACACCCCACACAAGGCCAATCAGAGAGTACAAGAAGAAGAAAAAACAAAGGAAGAGGAAGATGAAGAAGAAGAAATGAATGAAGAGAAGATGGAGAAGGAAATGAAGAGGAGGAGGAAAACAAACTTTTTTTTTGTTTGTTTGGAAACAGAGTCAAATCAGTGTTTAGAGAAATTGAACGCTAACCAGGGACACAAAGCTTGGCACAATGGCACATACGCACACAAAGATAAAAACCAAGGCACGCATGCCAAATTCAATCGCCACACTGGCGGAATAGACATAACACGACACATAATCCAAAAGAGAGGCAAGACACACAGGATAATTACAAGGCATGCTTTGGAAGAATACAAGATGAAATGACATATCGAGTCAATATCAATGTCTTCAATGACAATTCTATCTTTATATAGAAAGAACAAATATCAAATAAGTAAAGTTTTACTTTTTTCATAATTAAATTTCTTCCAAATAAAACCACCTATGGAAAATAAATAAATAAATAAATAATAATAGTATAATAATAATAATACCGGAGTAATAATAATAATAAAAGAATATTTCTTCATGGGAAAAGGACTAAACCATGCATAAAATATGAAAAAAGTACCAAAAGAAGAGTTTCATGTGTTTTATTCCAAAATAGGACTACAATACCAATAATGCAAGTATATAGTACTCCTTCTGTTCTAAAATGTTCTATCAAGTTACTATTCACATGGTCAAACTTTAATCATTTTCTTTAACTATATTTGTTAGTTATTTGGTAAAATAATATAGTCTTGACACTTCTTATTTTGTATAACTTTTGATGCAGTTTTTAAATAAATAGATTTTATTTTTTAATTTTACACCTGCAATCAAATAAATTGAATTGAAAATAAAGCCAATATGATAGAGGGAGTACAAAAAATTACAATGTGGTGTCAATGTACAGTGTCATAATATAAACATGCAAAGTGCAAACTCTTATTTTAGGATAAAATATAAAACTTATAATTTGAGTGGATAAAATATAAAACTTATAATTTAAGGACAAATGCTATGTTTTACTTCTATTTGGATAATTTCTTATTCTTTTAATTCCAAATTCCTCCCCGCATACAAAGTAATACATTTCTTATTTCAAGTTAAAATTCGAAAACATTTCTTATTTCAAGTTACATGTCACTTTTTCTCTTGGATTCTTAAATAACCATCTAGACTTTCTATATTCGAGTATATGTTTGAGTTTGTATATCTTCTGAATTTCTGATATCAAATTTCCTGTTTCGTATTTGGATGGTGAGACATAAAAAATTTAAATTCAACATCTCTAGATATCACACACCTCCAAATAGATTGTTTCGGTATCATTCGAATTTGAGAGATACGAATATAAGAGTTTGACATCTTTCTTAACCACCACCTACTCTAATTGATTAAATCATGATTTCAAAATTTTTTCAAGAAGTGTTATTTCAAATTTTAAAATGCATATCATTTTTTCAGATTTTAACATTCATATCATATCTCCAAACTTACACAACCCTAACCATCCATTCTTTTAAGAGTTGTGTTACTTGTACTCCAAATTTATATCGTATTATGTATCCGAAGACTTTGCACGGACACAAAGTATAAGTCTGTAAGTGCAACAATAGCATGATGTTAGTGGTGTACTTATAAGCCGATCAAAATTATTTATAAATAATTTTTAACTTATAAGTCAGTTTTGATGACGTGTTTTTGTGTGTTTATAAGCTGACTTATAAGCTGCTTATAAAAATTAAGTAGGTCTTAATTATTGATTTTAAGCCATTTTTTTCGTTTATCCGTTTTGATCAGATTATTTACAAAACTATTTCTTACCATTTATGAATATTTCTAAGTGACTCTTCTATCATTTAAGTTATTTTTACTTCCATATAACTTAAAAAGTGCTTACTAATAATAAGCCTATAAGCACCAGCACAGGGGAACATTCAATTTGTGTCTATGCAAACTCTTGGGATAAATAATAAGAGGTGTAAATTTTAGGTACAAGTAAAACTTATCTAATTTTAATCTGTTTTCAGACTAATTTCCATACAAATTGTTTTGCACGTGATGTTCAAAATTAGTCTCCCTTGTGAAATTGAATAAAGTTACGAAATTAGCTGACTGAAATCTTAAACGGCACTATTTGTGCGAGTTCCTCGCACTTTGTGCGAGTTTTTAAAGCGCAAGAGAGCTACACGCCACTGCCAATTCCCATTCCCAATGATCTTCCCTTTCCGTTTTCCCGTCGACGACTTCTCCCGGCATATTCTCGTTCCCCGCCGTGCGATTTTCAGGCGGCTACACTATTACCGACAATCACGGCGACTCCGCTGCTCTTCCAGGTATTTCTGTTTCAAGTAGTGTCTTAATTCATTATAATCTCTCTAATAATTTTAGGTTTTTAGATTTTCAAGAGGTTACCAAAGGTCCTGGTACCTTTTTCACATATTTTTTTTATTTTAAAAATGTTTATTTCAACACTTAAAAAATGCGTATTTAGGTTAATGCAATAGTTTGCCTAGAATTTCCAATGCTCTACTTTTTACTGGGAGTAGCAGATGGATCTAATTCTTATCATCCTAGTTTGCATCCGGGACTGTTGAGAAATATTCTTAATGAATCCAGATGTAATATACACAATGTGAGTGTGATAGAGGAGATTTGGACTCATCATGTATAGCTCAACTATGATTGCATCTTACGGAGTATATTTTTTCACTCCCTATTTTGCACTTTCCTTTTTTGGATATTTCAATAAACTATTTACACTTCACTGTATTTCTTTTTTTTAGTAATGAACAATTGAACATGAGATTCCTAACATTTCTCTCTCATCTAAACTAATTCTGATCATATACATTTTGATTTTCAATATTTTTCTTAAACTCCATGAAAACTAAATTGTAATTTTTTTTGGGACGATTGGTTGCCATGCCAACTAGAAGAGATAATAATTGTGACTAGAATAATCCCTTTCAATAGTAATTACAAGGACCATTTCTATTATTTAGGCTAATTTAGCTAGTTCTCAAAAAAGTGGTTTACAAAAGGGTGTTCCACTATATATTCTCTCGCTCTCTGGATGACACTCATCCGGGGCAGTAATAGCAGAATTAATACTGTAGTATAACTTAATTTACATTCATTCATCTACTTTTCTTACTAATAAGTTCAGAAAATGGTGGTTCACAATAGTCCTGGTTGAGCAAAAGATCAGCCAGTTGCTTGTTCATGGCTCCCGAAAGGTGAATGCCATCCCAACTAATGTATTTATCTGGATTTGGGCATGTTGATGCACCAGATGTGCCACACAACTTGTCCTTATCAAAGTTCAAATCCCCTCCACCTCCACAACATGCTTTTCTGTTCTCCTCAAAGTTGTACTTTCCAGCATCCATGAATATGGTCAAAAATGCCTTCCAATAATTTGCATATACAATTGTGCTTTGTGGGTATTGCTTGCGAAACTTTTCTATCATCTTTTGGAGTAGCCTGTTGTGGACTTCTATTGCTGTGTTTACAATGATTGAACATCCCATCTTGTCAAGTAGTTGAGGTGGGGTTAAAGATATGCTGACAGGAAAGCAACCAACGGGTGGTAAACCTTGTACAACTATGTGTTTTGCACCAGCATCCAACACAGTCTGTATAATTATAGCCATAAATTTACAAACTTATCAATATATATTCTAAGAATAATATATAAGGTTCTCACGACGTAAGTGCAATCATAACGTATTCTATGAATGTACCTGGAGAAGCTTTGAGGTATGGAAAATGCATAGTTGTGAGATTCCACGCATTGAAGCAACAGTCTGTTCATTTATTCGGAAGTAGTCAGAAACGCCTACTGCACCTAACCAAAAGAGCGCGTTCTCTATCTCAGCCTTACAACGATCATCAGTTCCATTATTGCATCCCTTCGATTGTAAAAATTTGTTGAACCAATCTATTTGTGCCTGAAAAGTGAGAGGAATGCTTGCCCAAATAAATGGATGTGCTTTTTGGGTGGCATAGTATTCTCTAGATAGAGCTGTTGATCCAGCAATGGCAAAGTTCATTCCTGTCTCAGAGTTTAAGTTATTGGTATCATTAAGTGATGCATCGGATTTATCACTATTTTTATTTGATGTTGAAGCGCTTGTTTTATTGTGTGATGATGAATCCCCTCCCTCGTTGTATGACCATGCTGAACTTGAACTGCTACTGGCTGACCATGAAGAATCTGCGCTACTGGATGACCATGAAGTATGTGAGCCACTGTTTGACAATGAGTCACTTGTCTTGCTATTTGATGATGAATCACTTGTGTTATTCTTTGATGAAGAAGCATCTGTTTCATATTTAAAAGATAAAAAATTGGTGTTGTCTTTTAATGATGAAAAAAATTGTTCCTCCCTTTGAGGATTAAGCGTGAATTCGTGTTATTATTAAATGATGTGTCTATTTTACTTACCGCTATTTGACAATGAGGCATCTGTACCATTCTTTGATGATGAGGCATCTGTACCATGCTTTGGTGACGAATCACTTACATTGCTACTTGATGATGAGTCATTCGTACCATCCTTTGATGTTGAATTGCTAGTATTGCTCTTTGAGTGTGAGTCGTTAGAACTGTTTGCTGAAGATGACGCATCTGTATTACTCAAAGTGGATGAAGCATTTGTAATGTTATTTGAAGATGAAGAATCTGATTTATTCTTTGAGGATGAAACATCTATATTGTCTTTGGATGATGAATCGTGTGTGTTGTTTTCTGATGATGAATCATCTGTATTGCTATTTGAAGATGAAACATTTGCATTTTGATTTGATGATGAGGCCTTTATGTCATCCTTTGATATGGAAGCATCTGTATTGCTTTTCGAGTGTGAGTCATTTGCATTTGTATTTTTCTTGAGAGTTTCATCATTTGTATTGCTCTTTGAAGACGAAGCATCCATATATGCATTACTCTTTGAGGATGAAGCATCTACATTGTTGTTTGAGGATGAAACATTTGCATTGCTCTTTGATGATGAAGCATCTATATTTTTTTTGGAGGATGAAGCGTCTATTTTTCTATTCTTTGAAGAGGAACTATTTGTGTGAGTTTTTTATGATGAATCTGAATCACTATTTGTATTACCTTTTGACGATGAATCTGTATTGCTCTTTGATTGTGAAACGTCTTCACTATTGTTTGAAGATGAAAATTTTGTGTCACCCTTTGATGATGATGAACTCTTGTTGCTCTTAGAAGATGAAGCATTATTGCTATCCTTTGATGATGCAGCATTTTTATCACTTTTTGACGACGAAGTATTTTTGGAACTCTTTGATGAAGACTGATTTTCTTTGTCATTTGATGATGAATCATTTGTGTCATTTTGCGACGATGAAGAATCTTTGTTTCTCTTAGATGATGTGTCAGTATCACTTTTTGACGACGACAAATCTGTATTGCTGCTTGCATTAATGTTTGATGATGATGAATATGCATCGCTCTTTGAGGTTGAAGTGTTCTTATTACTCTTTGACGAGTCATCTTTGTTACTCTTTGACGATGATGAATATTTGTCATTCTTTGACGATGATGAATCTTTGTCACTCTTTAACGATGATGAATCTTTGTCGCTCTTTGAGGATGATGAATCTTTTTCGCTCTTTGACGATGATGAATCTTTGTCGCTCTTTGACGATGATGA